GTAATCTGGAAATACCCTGTATTCTCTTGCTCCTGGAGTACACACAACCAAATTTTAAATAATTTTATTTTCTTTTGCTGTGAAAAAGACCATATAAAGTTCTAACCAGGTCAGTTATCTGGCAAACAGATAAGGAGATGAGTGTTAAAGGTTGTTTGAAAGGTGTCAGATGTTTTGCTAGTAAAACAAATGACTGCCACATTGGAAATAAAAGGCTTAATCCGTTTTTTGCAGAAGTTGTAGGTTATGGTATGGAGCTTTTATATAGTGCAGCCCATCTCTGAAACACTCCAAGCGAAGATCTGCACAGTCATGCCACTTTAGTCCAGGACAGAGCTCAGAACACTCCAAGTCCCTCCTGACTTACACACCTGTGGTGCTCGCTTAGGACCTATTTCCTCACCATCCTGCCCCTGTTTACAGCGTTTTGCATATGGGAAATGGAGCAAGGCAAATGAAGTGCCTTGCCTCAGGCTAGGTAAAAAGGCTGGAACAGAACTGAAGTGTCTTGCCTCGAGGCAATGCTGCTGCCTGCCTTCTGGTGTTTGATGTTTGATTTATAGCGGCTGGACCTGTCCAATTTCCTGTCCCCGTGCTGAGGGTTTCAAAAGGCACTGGCTGCTTTGCACTCTTTCAGTTATGAAAAGTGAATTAAATATTTACCTGGGTTATCAACTGGTTCATATTAATTGGGGGGGGGGGGTTTGAGCAGCCAGAATCTATAGAATGAGGTGTTCCTAAGCTCTTGCATCATTTTCATGAGCATGTAATCACAATTGGCATAGAAAAAGTTCACTCAAACCATAAAAATGTGCACATTGGGTACATGTAGTATGTGTAGCTCCATACTGAGTATATATAGAAGTCTAACTCTAGCCTAGAGTAAACCAGCCCTTGGAGAAGCACCAAGTGAAAATATAACCCCACATGAGCCTAAGCCCTGACCAGTCTAAGTCTCCCCCAGTTAAACCAGCACACTGGGAAAGCTGGCTCCTTTCTCCCCTAGGATCAGCCTGTGCTGCCTTCCTGCACTGCCAAAACCATCTGAGAGCAGCTCTGCTCCTCGGAGGGGCTGCTCAGCAGGAGCTCACAGGAGCAGGGCAGCAGCATCAGAGCCACTGAGGCAAACACAGCCAGCCTGAAAACAGCAAGTTTTGCACCCAGCTGGAGATTTGCTCCAGGTGAAGGTAGGAGCCTGTGCAGAGCGTTTCTAGCAGCACTGAGCTCTGATCCTGAGGCAGCTCATTGTCCCAGAAGTGGAGAAAACACAAGGGAAAACTCACCCTATCAGATGCTCCATGGAGAGCTCCAGCAGCACACGGATGTCAGAGCACCTCCCTGGGATCTGCCCCACGGTGTCCTGCTCCAGGATGGAAGAGTGACCAGGGGTGGCTGCAGGAACACGAGCAGCTGGTAGAAGGTTCAGTTCTTGTGACTTCTGTGATGTCTAAATACTGACAATCAGCTGAGACACTGACTTGCCTGTTTTCTTTATTACTAAGGCAATGTTTCCTAGATAAAGGGTTTTGTGCAAGAGATGATGTACTAGTGATGCTGTGGGATGTGGAGATGTGATGTCCAGCTCTGCCTTGAGATCAAAGACTGAAGTTTAGCTGACACCTGAAGAGGTCTGTGGCAGACTGACTGTCCTGACAGGACAGAGCAGATCCACACAAGGTCTTTGGTGAATCTGAATTTTTCTGGCCACGTGTACAATTGAGCTTAGAGACAAATGTCAGGGGTTTTCTGTGGTCCCACAGAGATGGGATTAGTAGAAGTTTCTATTTTTGCTGATAGTTTTTAGTCAGAAAGAAGTAGCTCACACAGAGAGACACTTGCAGGTGACTGTGAATGTATCAGCCTGGAGATAACAACATTCACAGTATGTAGGGACATCACAGCTCAGGGACAGAGGATGTGACCTGAGTAAAATCAGCCCTGTGATTTACAGCTGAAAGGTCCTCTACAGATACAAAATCTTTGCTAATAGAATAAAAATCCGTTTAGTTTGACAGAGCTGGAATGTTTCATGTTAGCACCCAGGCCACAGCACCTACAGCGTCTCTGGGAGTGCTGCTGCTGCTGGCCAGGGGGACTGGAGGCCTCTGCTCTGGAAGGTTTGGCTTTGCCTTCAGTGCTCTGAGCTCAGCCAGGGATGCACAGGAAATGAGGCTCCCTCTGCCCAACACTGACACTGTAAATCCAGTTCTGCAGCTCAGAGGGAGCAGCCTGCAGAGGAGAGAGTGTCTGCAGTGTTTCGAGGAGTCACACTTTGCACTAGCTCTGCTCTATACTGCTCTGCCCCAAGGGAGTTACAAACAGATCACCACAAGTGATCAAGCTGATTCTTCTCAGGTGAACAGTGGCACTAATATTCTGGGCATGTCACCCCACTGCAAACACAGAGTAAAATCTGCCAGTCCTTTGTCTGTGGAGTTGGAAAAACAGTTTTGGAAAGTGAATTCAATTGGCCCACCAGGAAATCTCAGCATCCAGATCATACAGCTGCTGAACTTGAACAAATCTGGTGAATTATCATGTTCAGCCATGAGAGCTTGTTTTATTTATGACTGTCTAGATGTAGTTCTACTGAAGAAAGTTGCTTCTATGCCCTGAAATGTACCGTTTATTCAAAACTCTCAGTGCTGAATTAGTGCATGGCTGCTGCCATAGGTCCTCCCTTTTGACTTTGACTTGAGTCAAGTTTGAAGTCTGATATTCCAGCTAATATTAAACTGAGAGTTAGGGCATTCTCTGTCCACTCCCCCATACTGAAAGATGTCTGTGGTCTGCTTTCATAAATTTTTATTTGGGAAGAGTAGTTCACCTTTTCAATTAATTTTTCAAAACTCCACTTACAGAAATAATTTAATCTCACTGTTCCTCATGCACTGAATTAACCCAGGGCCTTAGCAACCCTGCAAACACCTGTCAGACCCCAGTGAGATGGCTGCTGGTGGAAACAGGAGCCAGGGAAATCTCAGTTTTAACTACAAACTTTATTTTCAAATGCAGCTCACACTGGCTTTGTGATAAGGCTTTCTTGGGTTTGCTTTTTTTAAAAAAAACCCACTGCCTCTGTCTTTTTAAAAGCAATGGCTGCTTCTTAATGCAATGAGATTTTTCTTAATAATGACACAGCAAATAATCCTGGAAGCCTGGGGGTGCAGTTCAGCCATTTGGAAAAATGACCTTTTGTACTATTACTGGAACTAGCTAGCAGGCTTTGGTGCCTGAATTTTGTTTCCTCTGCACCACAGAAAATAGTTCAAAGCCTGTTGCTCAGTGAGATGGTTTTGCTTGGGGTTGAGTTAATTTTCTTTAGTGACCAGAGTAGGGCTGTGTTTGTGATTTGTGCTGAAAAGGGTGTTGATAATATAGGGAGGTTTTTCTTATTGCTCAGCAGTGTTTGCACAGCATCAAGGCCTTTTCTGCTTATGTGGTGAGGGGGCTGGGGGATGGCCTGGATTTTGCTGGGGTAGACTTAAATTCTTCTCAGTAGCTGGTACAATGCTGTGCTTTTGATTTAGAAGGAGAAAAATGTTGACAAAATACTGATGGTTTTTATTTTGCTGAGTCATATTTATCCTAAGTCAAGGATTATTTTTTTTTCTTTTGGGTCTCATGCTCTGTCAGTGAGAAGGCACAAAAAAGAAACTGAGGGAGCATAGCCAGGACAAGTGACCCAAACTGGCCAAAGGCATGTTCCACACCATGTAATGGCATGCCCAGTGTATAAACTGGAGGAGTTATCTGGAACAGGGCCTGATCTGGGCTCAGAAAAGCAGCTCTGACATTATTGGTCAGTAGGTAGTGAGCACTTGTATTGTGCATCACATATTTGGGTTTCTTTTTCTTTTCCATTGTATTATTAATACTATTATTATTTACCATTATTACAGTATTTTACTTTGTTTTCAGTTACTAAGCTTCTCTAAATGATTAATTTTTAAACTTCTCTAAACCTGCAAGCTTTACTTTTGATTCTCCTCCCCACTCCACCAGGGTGTGGGGGAAGAGAAGGGTGTTGAACAAATGGCTGTGTGGTGCTTAATTCTGGCTGGGGCTAGAACCACAAGAGGGTTTTTGGGTGATTGGGAGTAGACACAGACAGCACAGCTGACCCCAAGGTTAGGGTTAGGGCACCCCAAAGGGATCCCCAAAGGGATATTCTGTACCATATTCCATCAGGATCAGCACATAAAGAGGGGGAAAGAAGGAAGAGGGAGGGACCTGCTGGATGTCTGCTGGAAACTCAAGCAGAGGCAGCCTGGTTGGGCCCTGGAGTGTGTGGGTGAGAACTTCACTCCCTGGCACAGCTGGTGAGCCCAGCAGGGAATCACCTCTGGAAAAAGGGGCAGGCAGCTCAGGAAGTGTTTATGGATCTTGTTAGGTCATGGGGGAAGAAAATTAGAGAGGTAAAAACTCAGAACTTATTTGGGCCACTTTTGGTGGCCAAATATCCTGGTGAAGGATAATAAAAAGTTGCTTTTTGAATACATTAATGGCACTAGGAGGAGCAAGGAAAAGCTCCATTCTTTACTGGATCCAGGAGGGAATACAGTCACCAGAAGCGAGGAAAAGGCTGAGGTGCTTGGCACTCTCCCTGGAGGTGTTAAGGAAAGGCTGCACATGACACTTAGTGCCGTGGTGGTGTTGGGGCATAGGATGGACTCAAGGACCTCAGAGGTCATTTCCAACTTGATTGACTCTGTGATTCCAAGGAGATGTTCAGAGTTACAGCATTTGTCTTCCCATGGGCTGGCAGGTGTTCACCCACCTCTAGGAAAGATGGGCTCCATCACCTGTTGAGGTGACTTGGAAGATAAATGCCTTAACTCCAAACGTGTCCCATTCCTCTTCCTTCTCTCTCCCTCTTTAATATTCTGAGCTCAGTGTTCCAGCAGGTCCCTTTGGGCACTTGAGGTCAGCTGTGTGTCTGTGTCTACTCCCAATCCCCAGCCAGCCCCAGCCCAAAGCAGCAGCTGGGAGCGCTGGCCACTCTCACTGCAGGAGCAGGAAGGTGCCAGGGCTGCCCTGCTCCACGGCAAACAGCAGCACAGCACAGAGCTGCAGGTCGGAGGGGCCGCTCAGCAGCAGCCGGCAGCAGTGGGAGCTCGGCAGCACCGTGAGCTGCCAGTGCTGCCACTGGGGCAAATGCTCCCAGGCTGTCTGCACCAAGTTCTGCACCCAGCAGGCGATTTCCTCCACGTCTAAGTAGGAGCCTGTGCAGAGGTTCTGCAGCAGGGGTGAGCGCTGGGCCGTCTGATTGGTCTCGGAGGGGTGGAGAAAACACGGAATATTCCCCGTTTCCCTCAAGCAGCTGCACTCCAGCACCACACGGACGTTGGAGCACCTCTCTGGAAGGTGTGTCCAACTGTACAGCTCCAGCCTGAAAGAATGCCTGGAGGGTGGCTGCAGGACCACAAGCAGCTGGTACAAGATTCGGTCCTCAAAGATACTCCAGGATTCATGGATGTTGTTCTTCCCGGTGGCCGGGTGCATCTCCGGCATGAAAGTGTCCTTGGAAAGCACTCGGCAGACGTGGAGGACGTCATGCATCATCTTCTTCACATCCCTGCACATGTCAGACAGTCCCTGCATTGATGATAGTTTGGGCACAGAAAACAACCTGACATTGTGGCATTGCCCCTTCTCTTCCTCATCTTCCTCCTCGCAGGAAGAGGTGTCCTGCTCATAGCAAATGCAAGGGGCAAACTTCATTTGCCAGGCCACCCAGCAGATCTCCAGGAGCATGACTGCTGCAGCAGCCCAGAAGAGACAGAGCTGCAACCCAGAGAGGATTTGGGCTTCTTGTGGAGCCCTTATCCATCCAATCTCCTGCAGCAGCTGCTTCATCTCCTGGTGCAGAAACTCCTCACGCTGCTGCTTCTGCTGTGTTGTGACCACACTGATCCGTAGGTCTCGTGTCTGCTTGAGCAGGATGGCCAACACAGCCACAAAGAACGTGATTGCTGCAGCCATGGCCTGGAGGAGATGGGAGAAAGGTTCATCAGCAGGTCTGGGTGAACAGGCCTGAAGGGACCACTGACCCTGGCTGGAGACAGCACAGGGCCAGTCCTGCCCAAGCCACTCTGATGGTCATCCCCTGGCTGGGCTGTGCCCCATGAAAGGGCAAGAGACACTTGAGCTGTCTCCTGAGGCCCCATCCCTGCCATGCTGGAGCATTCCATGGAGCCAGGGGTACCTGGCGATCCCCAAAGCCTCTCTGGCACCACTGGGAGCCCTGAGCACTTCTGCCCCCAGCCCAGAGAGTGGCACTCTGCCCTGCCCTGAGGGGCCCAGCCCTCACTCAGAGTTAGAAACACCCCTGTCCCATTCCCCATCCATCCCAGCCCTCCCTGTGCATGTGCACTCACCAATTGCCCAAGTCCAGTTGCAGAGGGGCTGCCTGGTGTTGTCCCTGGGGATGGCTCCCACTGCCACCTGCTCTCTGTAGTGTCACAGCCACCAGAGCTGACAAACCCAGACTTCAACCCTATCCCCTGCTCAGTGGGTTCTGGGCACCACTGCACCAAGTCCAAACCCACTGCAGGAGGTCCCAGGGGGTCTCTTGGCAGAGCAGGGACAGGCCCAAAAGCCAGCCCAGAGAGCCCAATTCCCACTGTCCCCAGCCCCAAGGGCAGAACCTTGTCCTGTTCTGAAGGTCTCAGCTCTCACTCAGAGTTAGAAACTCCCCGGGGCATCTGTCCCGTCCCCCATCCATCCCAGCCCTCCCTGTGCATGTGCACTCACCAATTGCCCAAGCCCAGCTGCAGTGGGGCTGCCTGGTGTTGTCCTTAGGGACAGATCCCACTGTGACCCATCCTCTGTGATGTCACAGCCACCAGAGCCTCCCCACCCTCCTGACAAGCCCCAAACCCCATCCCCAGCCCCTCTCACCCCAAGTACAACACCACTGGGCAGGAGCTCCCTGGGGCTCTCCTGACAAAGTGGGCAGCCCAGGCCACCCTGATGGTCATCCCCTGGCTGGGCTGTGCTCCATGAAAGGACGAGAGACACCTGAGCAGAGCATCCCAAGGCCCCATCCCTGCCACACAACAGTGTGCCATGAATCCCTGGGCACCCAGAACATCCCCAAAGCCTCTCTGGGCACCTGACACCCCTCAGGAGCCTGAGCCCCTCTGTCCCCAGCCCCAGGCATGGTTTTGGTATTGACTGACTGACCCTGGCACTGACTGACTGATCCTGGCACTGACTGACAGATCCTGGCACTGACTGACAGATCCTGGGATGCTCTGATTGACTCTGGGATGCACTGACTGACCCTGGGATGCACTGACTGACCCTGGGATGCTCTGACTGATACCGGGATGCACTGACAGACTCGGCACCAGGCAAACACGTGATCCATGATCCCAATACAGATCAAAGCTGTGGCTTTTGAACTGATGGTTTCCCTACCTAAAGAAACATCACATGCAATCTCTCTCTGACCACATCTTTAAAACCTTGACCCTTGCAGTTTTTAGGTCAGTTACTTCAATGGATTCTATAAATCCAGTTGGGTTCTTACATAAGTCTGATTTGGATTTACTCAATTCTAGAAAGAGATGCAGGTGGTCCTAGGGAGGATTTCTGGGGATGTTATTGCGTGCCTGAGGAATTTCAGGATCTAGAATGCTGTTCTTAGCCTGAAGTGCCAGAGATGTGCTGCAAAGGTCTTTTCTGAAATTAGCTCCATTTGGCTTTTTGATTTTCTCAAGAAAAATGAAGAGATGTATTGGGCATTGCATGCTACATAGTTCAAGTCTGACAGCTGGACAGTTCAATCAACCAACTCTGCACTTCCCTCAAAGAAAAAGTTTTGAGGAAAAAGAAAATAAAAATTGACTTTTTTTTGGTTTTTCTTCTGGTAGGTTTTTTCTTCCAGTTATCTAATTTCAATTATCTTTATAAAATCATCTCTTACATATTTTTTTTTCCTGAATCAGATTAACCTAGCACAGTGTTTAATAATGAATTCCACTCAGCATGCCAGTAGAACAGAAAAGTTCTTTTGTCTGATCTTAGACAAGTTCTCTAATAGGTAAAAATGAGATCCACAGGGCAGAATATGCTAATAAATTATGAAAAGAATTTATTAGAATTTCTGAAAGGTATTTGACTTATCTCATAGAACATTTAATGCAGTTTCATGATTATCAGCCCTTTTCAGCTTGTTCTTTAGAAATGCATGAGGAGCTGAGGACAACATTTGCAAATCATTTTTGCATCTTAACAGACTGTTCCCATAAAACTGTTGCTTTTCTTTAACAGTAACTTTGATATTCAGACTTACTAGGAGGACTGCAAAATATTTAGATACAAACCCTAAACCCTGTATTAAACTCTTTTAGTTGTGTGAGGAAGCTCAGCTTTGTGGGTAGCATCAATTGTTACAGTGGCCTGAAACAAACACCTGAAACTTCTGGATTTTAACTGAGTCCTGTTCTGTTCTGTGACTTATTTTGTCTGTTCAATTGGTAAAACAAATGTGATGTGAGTCCCTCAGGAACTTCATCCTGTGAGTAACAAATGAATCTTCAGCATCTGCTTTATTGATGTGATGGATCGATAGCCAGCCTGATGATTGACACTATGTAAATCAGAGCAAAATCAGAAGGTATACTACTAAAACTGAGATTAATGTCACCTATAATTAGACATGTAGTGATTTGTTATGATTGCTCTATGTCTTATTTTGTTGCCTTTTTCTAAAATGCAAATTATAAACAGGAATGGAAGAGATCTAAATTTAGTCACTCTTGGATCTAATCTGCAGTTTTAATGTAGTAAATTTTAAACACTGAGAACATTTGGATGAACTTTCAGGTGGTAACATCCCAAAACAAAGAAGCTCTTGAGCTTTGTGGTTTTGCTGATCTGGGTTGCTGCTCAAGGTTCCTTGAGAATTGTAAAAATGTTTCTTAGTACAGGACAGATGAGCCCTGATGAGCTAATTTTCTGCAGTGCTTGGATAAACACAAATTTAGATGCCATACAACAGTCAAATGTGTTTATCAATACATATTAATACAGAGACATGTAAATATATGTCTGTATTTGTTCAGAAGCCTGAATAAATAGAGGAATAAATTAGGCAGTGTGATCTCTGCCTTACACTGTTAATGATAAAAGTTCTGGAGTTCCCTGGCAGCTGCAGGAACAGGAAGAGCAGAAAGTGTTTGACTGCTGCCAATTGCAGTGACAGCCATTCTCTGTCTCTGCTGGAGCCCTGAGCTACATAAAGTCCTTAGAAAAGAGAATCAGTCTGAAGAAATCATGCTGAATGAAGAAAGATTTAGAAGTTTATGTTGTCCTGCAGGTGTGCAAAAAAATCAAACAGAAAAGTGATATATTGGCCTCATTAGAGACAAAGAGGGACTAAGAACAGCATTTCTGAGAGTGTTTAATAATTAAAGGAGGGTTTTAAGTTGTACTGAATGGAAGGAATTAGCCAGCTGTGGTTTGGGCATCATTACCTAAAAGTCCATGCAATTAAACAGCAAGAACTGAGATGTCTTGAGACCAATCTAAACTCAGGTGGTGACTTCTTCCTTCTGATATCTGTGGATTCCAGTGTTTCTCCCACACCAGCAACCTACTCAGGTGTTTATAAGTCATCACATTCGACTGAATGTGCTGCAAATCTCTTTATAAAGAAAACATTCATCTTGATAGAAAACCACATGAATCCTTGAACGACATTTCTTACCCAGTCCTGAATGGGCAGAAGTTCTTGCCAAGGCAGTGCTCTGAAAGGCTTGTTTGCAGATGATCACATCTGCGTCCAGATGAAATTAAAATGGCAAAGCCATTGGGGACCAATTCATAGCAGATGACAAAGAGGAAAGAAACAGGGAAAATAAATTTAGAACTGACATTTTCCTTAATGACTGCTTCTTTGAACTTCTCTTAGAAAGAACTAGCTGTATTGCCAGGGGCTGATTTTTTCCAGGGTCTGTTGCAAAACTCAGCTGAATTTTGCAGCTGTTTTCAAGCACTAAAACCACAGGGCCTAAATATATAGACATACAATGATGAACCTCCTTATAAGTAATAATGATGAACAAATAATGCTAATGACTCTACTTGCCTTCTCTCAGTAGGTATCTGGGTTCAATGAGAAGATACCACATGTTCTTGTTTTTTGTTTATTTTTATTAGCCTGAAGGACTTTTTTATTAATGTTTGCTGCACAGTCACCTTATGCCACATAGTAACTACAGGAAGTTTCTGTAAAAACTTTTCCCTGTACAGTGACATTTGGTTATCACAGCCACCTCTTTATGTTCTGTCCTATCCATAGTATCTTATTGGTACTAGGAGTCAAAATCTCCACATTCACTCTCTTATGCCTGAGTCTTTTATAATAACAATCTACATTCTAAGGCATCCAATCATGTAATTTTTGAACTTTTTAGACCAGAAAGCATAGAAAAATGCTTTGCAGGAAAATTATGGCTTTGTAATGGAAGGCTGAATGTTTATCAGGAAAACCTTGGAGGAAAATGAAATTCCATAGCTTGTCCCAGAGCAGTAAATCCTCTTATCCTTCTGTAGATAGAGCCTTGCCAAGGTATCCTATTTATCTGTGCTGGAGCACAGAAACCATAATCCAGGATTCTCATCCCACCTGAGAGTCAGGAGGACACACCTTTCCTAAATCATTCACTGTGCAAAGTGATTACTCAGGCACTTCTCATGTGCCACCTTTTTTTCACCCTTCCCAATTTGTACTGGGATTGCCAGCAGTGTCTTCACTAAGAGAGCAATTAATAAATTGGGACATTGGACAAAATGAATGTTAGACCCATCAGTGTTTGCTAAAGAGGGAGCTGCGTTACATACCCCACTTGGAGATTTTCCAAGTGATTTATTGACTTCAGTCTTTCTCCTCTTATGCTGCAGGATGTGTTTACCTGTGAGAAACAAGGGAAGAATGAGGTGTCTCTGGGCAACAGATTTGCTGGTTCACTTAAGCCCTGTGAAGGCTGTCAGACTCAGAGGTGCCATTTCTGGGTTTCCAAACTCAGTGAGGTAAATTAGTGCATCAGGGCACATTTAATGGAGGCTCTCACTGCTGTGGCCTGTGTACAGAATTGGTCTAGACACAAGAACTGGATGATTGGTCTTGTGCCATCACAATTAGCAACAGGGAACGAGATTTCCAGGCTCATTTCAGATAATCTTTTAAAAATGTAATAGTTTGTATCAAACTCACCCAAAGCATATGAACTCGATTGCAAATGTCAACTGAAAATCACATTGGAACTTCTTTCTGTATTGCAGTTTGCATCCCTGTCTGTCTGTTGGTAATATCATGAAAATAATTTTTCCATCAGGGTGGTATGTCCATTTTGGGGCCTGAATCCTGTGTGCCATGGGATTGCCTGACAGTGGTGTCAAAGAAACTGAAATGAGAAAATCAGATGGCATCTATTTTTTGGGCAGATTGAGATGTGAAAACTTCAAGAGCTCAATAAGGAAATGAACTACAGGAAAATATTTGAAGCCTGGAAAATTCTGAATTAGTTGATAAGGGATTTTTTGCTATGATTTGATTTGAATGATCTCTTCTGACTTTTCCAAACCCATAGTGACTTTTTAATACATTACCCACAACCCTTTTTATGCAGCAAAGCCATTAGCTCAGCTGTGTGATTACAGTGCCTGACCCACGCTCTGATTTTTCAATCATAAATACAGCTGCTGAATTTTGGCTCAAAAAGGGGCATTATAGAAATGTCAGAACTGGGAACTGAACTCAGACTGCTCCACTAAGTAGTGGTTAGAAAACTA